ATGACAGCCTACAGGCATAAAAACATATGCAAACTGCTGACTCTAGTACTGAATAGGCTGTTCAAAATTCAGTATAATGATAGATGAGGAGATTTTTATGTGCACGAGTACATAAATCCCTTGTTTCAACAAAAGAAACAATTGAGAAAAAATCTAGAACAACAGGTGGATTGTAAACAGAGAGAACTCAGTGCAAGCAAGACAGGAAAAAAAGGACATGAGTCTTATTTTAAGGAACAACTTTCTCAAGGCCCAGCTTTTCTCACCATGAAGGGAAATGTGGAAAATATTTAATTCATGTAGGTTTTGGTAGACACAGCAAGGAAAAAAAAATAATAGGCACACCAAGAAACACTGAGACACACAACAACCACTTTTTCCCCTAGCTTTTGCACTGGATCCTTTTTATTAGATGCGGTCTACAACATGAACTTTAAGATATTCTGCCAAACAACCTTTAAACATCTCTCCAACACTTTTGCATTTTTTTTGGTCCTTAAAAAAAATGAAAGCTTTCAAAAGCTGTTCTGCAATTTTTCACCATGTATTTATCACCATCACTAGAACTCTGGAATTATAAACTAAAATTTGATAAGTCAGACTTTGCTTCGGTAATTACCAGATTACAGGAACAGCCTCCGTAGCATTCAGGCAGATATGCCAGAGTTAATTGTGGCATTCAAGTGTTTGAAATAATGCACTTTTAATGTTCACAAGGAAGAACCAAGGCATTGTTTCTAAGGCTGTATTCTCATTTTGTGTTGATTGCAACTCTTTGACAACATTCAGTATTCAGTATCCCCTCAGATTTCTAAGTGTTTTAAATGGATCCCACTCTGTCACCACCCAACCTGCCATTATAATAGGCATGAGAGATGAATTATGGTTTCAAAAGCTGAGTAAATGTAACCATAATCAGAAATAACAGCAAAAATCATGCAGACCATATTAAAACATTCACACTTCTTGATCTAATCATACAAATGGTATTCATCATTTTGCACCTTGCTGTCAAGAGGAAATGTGCACTCACAGCCCAGAAAACCAACCTGGTCTGCACCAAGAGCAGTATGGCCAGGAGGTGATTCTGCCCCTCTGTTCTGCCCTTGAGTCCCCACTCGGACTTATAGCACAGGAAGGATGAAGACCTGTTGGAGCAAGACTAGAGGAAAGCCACCAAGGTTATCAGAGGGCTGGAGTATCTCTCCTGTGAAGTCAGGCAGAGAGCTGGGGTTGTTCAGCCTGGATAAGGGAAGGTTCCGGGGAGACCTCAGTATGGTCTTCCAGTACCTGAATGGGTCTTATAAGAGAGCTGGAGAGGGACTTTTCCCAAGAACATACAGTAAGAACATACAGTGACTGGACAAGGGGGACTGTCTTCAAACTGAAAGAGGGCAGGTTTAGATTAGATATTAGGAAGAAATCATTTACGGGGGGGGGAGGAGGGGTGAGGCACTGGCACAGGTTGCCCAGAGAAGTTGAGGATTCCCCATCCCTGGAAGTGTTCAAGGCCAGGTTGGATGGAGTTTTGGTCTAGAGCAAGGTGTCTCTGTCAATGGCAGGGTTGAAACTAGGTACTCTCTAAGGTCCTTCCAACCCAAACCATTTTATGATTCTGTGGTTCAATACTGTCAGTAAAATTCAATTACTAGGAACTCTGATGTTATGACTACGACATATTACTAAATATATGATTTACAACAAACAATCTTACCTGGCTCTAGTCACTTACACTCAAAAAACCAAGATCTCTCAAAACAACCAAACATGCAGTATCTTCTGCAAGGATCAATGAAATTTTTTACATTTAAGATCACACAGTTGTTTAGGTGTCTCCAGAGAATGACAACCTCTCCTTTTGTCTTAGAGGTCAGCAGTCAAAACTATCTTGTCTCAGCAATGAGTGAATGCTGTTACCTTCATGAAAGTATTCAGTGCTTTATATAATGTATTATAAAGTTGTGTTGCATTCTAAGCTTTTTATGCCAAAATTTTATTGCAGTATATGGAGTGCATTGTATATGGATAATGTTAGCACATTTTAAAAAAATGGAATACTTTTAGATATGTCCTACATAAAAGAAGAAATAGTAAACTCAGAAAAACAAGCATGGGCTGTTTTTGAAGAAAGATGGTTTTAAAATGAAAGAATCTGGGGAATAAAAGTGTGAGTGTCCAATGCAATAACAAAACAAACTAGGATTCTAGAACTAGTTGAAAAGGAAGTTATTTATTGTAATAGAGAAGTGACATCAGTACAAGGAAGTTATTTATTGTAATAGAGAAGTGACAACAGATTCTTATCTGTGTTTAAAATAGTACCAGGTTTTCTTTTCTGCAGCGTTGTGCTCCAGGGAAGATTACTGTTATCTATGAAATTATACCAGTAATCTTGTCATTATCATTCAAAAAGTTAACTTTGCATTGGAGAAATGATTTTTGTTTTGATTTAAGCCTTATTTGCATACTGATTGCTAGCCAGGTTTTATATAAACATGGCTGGTTTGGATATGTCTACACTGTCTTCCAGATACAGACCCAAACCTGCACTCAAGTCAAAGCTCATCCATGCCAGAAGTCCAAGGACTTTGGGCAAAATTTGACCATTGCTGATAGGGCAAGCAATCACACACCACTGTTTAGTATGATACCAAGCACATTCCTGCCTGCTTTCTGATCAGCGTCTACTGACAGTAAAATTGCTATCTCAGAGAGAACTGTGAAAAACAGTGTATGTTTTCAATAAGCCATTTTTTTTGTGCCTGTAGTCCATATTCTGATAGTATTCTACAGACAGCATTTTCCCCTCTAGGTCTATGAAGGAAGAATAGAGATAAAGAAAAAAAATCCACTGTATACACTTAGCATTAGGGAGATGATGTTCACATATCCTATCTCATTTTTTCCAATAAGAACTACAACTGATGCATGTATTTTTGCATTCAGTTAATATTCATATGCACATACATAAAAAACAGCAAAAGATATTGCAGACAGGTAACACCAAGAGAGCAAGAAACAAATGTGCAGTTGATAAACATTCTCTAGCTTCTGTTGTAAGAGTGAAAAAGTAGCAAACACTGCACAAAGGTCTTATCTGAATAAGAGACATAAAAGAGCTACTTGATAGCCCTGCTGTTCTCAGTAGAAATCTTCTGGAAAAATGCTTGCTCAGTTCCCAGAGAAATTCAGTCCTTTTGTGACAGACCTCACTTTTGTACTTTGCTTCCTTTTTTTAAAAGACCAGAAGTTTAATTTTTTTGAACTACAGAGAATGACTGTTTAGGGCTAAATGTGGACAGTCATACTGTGAATCAGATAAGCTGCATACTTGGCAGAAAAAGAATTGCAAAGTGTGATGCTTCCAGCTTCAGTTGACTTCAACTTGTCATTACAAGATCCTGTCTCTTTTGAAATACTTCTCTTCTGAAAATCTCCAAGTCTGGATTTCTTGCGTGTTGCACAATGTTAGGTAGTATATGTTTTAGGAAAATATAGATAATAAAAATGCACCAAAAGTACATGAAAAAAAAATTGTGAAATAAGGTAATTGAAAGGTCATGTCATTGTCTAACCCCAGCCAGGAACTCAGCTCACTCATTCCCCCCCACAGCAGAAGGGGGGAGTGAATCAGAGGAGCAGAAGTGAGAAAACTCATGGCTAAAGATAAAGACAGTTTAATAGGGAAAGCAAAAGCCACACATACAAGCAAAGCAAAACAAGGTTTTATTCACCACTTTCCATTGGCAAGCAGGTGTTCAGCCATCCCTAGGACAGGAGGGCTCCATCGTACATAATGTTTACTTGGTTAGACAAATGCCATCACTCCCCATTCCTCCTCCTTCCCCAGCTTAGATGCTCAGCATGATGGAATATCCCTGTGGTCAGTTGCAGTCAGCTGTCCTGCCTGTGTCCCCTCCCTTCTTGTGCAACTCCCAGCCTCCTCACTGGTTGGGTGGAGTGAGGTGCGGAAAAGGCCTTATGTAAACACTGCTCAGCAGTAACTATAACATCCCTGTATTATCAACACAGTTTTCAGCAAATACGATACACAGGCTACTTTGAAGAAAATTAACTTTATCCCAGTCAAAACCTGCACAAGTCATCACTCAGTCTGTTAGTGAGATAAAATTAAATGTTGCATGGACCATATTATATTCCTTGTTACAATCCCATCTAGAGATGCACTTTCCTTGCAAGGTTCTGTGTTTCTCCAGTAATAACACCGATACTGCTTCTACGAGAGACATCACAGAGCATGCTTTAAAGGTCTGTTAAATAGCACAACAGTTTTCATGGGTAATGAATGGGTAATTTTTTTCCTACTAGGAATGAAAGATGCAATTTGTGGAGTTTCAGTGGGCAGAGAAACTTCTGGAGCACACAACAGCTGGAAAAATTAGTGCACTGTCATGAGAACTGCCTAAGGACTGTTTTCTCTTTCACTGCTCAAGGATGAAGCTGCAGAGAAGCTACACAAATAGTGATGAATTATGCTGTCCTGATACACTGGGATGTATTAGATGATACAGAAGGCTTGTCAATGCCCACATAGAATCATAGAATGGGTTGGGTTGTAAGAGACCTGTAAAAGGACATCTAGTCCAAAACCCCTTATCAAGATTAAATAAAACAGTGACTAACAAAAGTGTGTGAAAAGAAAATCATGCATTTTCTAACCACTCTAGTCAGAGATTTCTAACAGTGCCTTCTGCAACACAGATTTATTCTCTTATTTTCCTACTACTAAGTTCAATTAACTTACTGCATGGAATTCATGGTCTCTGTGTGAAGTAAAAACTATTTAATGATTACTTTAAAAAATGTAATTAACACATGCACTGCTCCTGGCTTGATGCATTTTAATTGTGAAGCTGAGAGAAGAAAAAGCCTTGATGCAATTTAGAATTAATAAGCTTTGTTTTTATAACTTCATAAGCAGCTTGAAATAATTTCACGAAACCTTCAAGTATGTTTAAAAGAAGTACGTACCAATAAGAAACTGTACTTGAAATTTTATTTCCAGATTGAAAATTCCAGGACAGTTCAAATGTAGGAGTGAGCACACCACTTTTACAGCAAAGCTGGACAGCATTTATCTGTAAACCTAGAAAAGACACATCTGTAAGAAGCTTCAGCTTAAAAAAAAGTGGTTTTCCAGTTGATACACTAGCTGTAGATTCAGGAAATCTGTTTATCAAGCCCTAGAGATCTAAAAACAATCAAAAACCTTGCAGAAGTCCTGGAGAATAATGAAAGTGTTGAACAGCAGTTTTTTAGGTCGCTCATACTTGGAATCTAATTTCCAACATAATGCCAATGTGTAAAAGGCTCAAACATTTGTTTGCATCAAAATGACTGTGTTCACACAGCTGTCTGAAGTCTCCCACACTTACCTGCAATCTGCACTGTGTGCTAGAGACTGCAACTCAAATTCTTCCCAAGCCAAGTCCAAACATGCTGTCTGTACAAAGGGCATGGCTTGCTTTCTCTTGAAAGAAAGAGTAATAAAGGTCAGCAGGGAATGCCTCTGATTTCTTCAGTGCACCCCAAGTAGCCTTTTCTAACTGCTCAGCTTTATTCTGAGAATCAAAAAGAATCTGGCACAGGGCAGAAAAAGCTAGAGAAGAACAGTCAACTGTAAACCTTTTCCTGGGTTATCTCAGGTGAGCTGAGATGTGTCTCACTGGACTTAACACTACCCAGAGGGCTGATGTAAGGACAAATGCATTAAATGTTGTCAAACATGGGGATAGGGTCCACATGGAGAGATCCCATTTCCCTGTGACAGACTTGTTGCAAACAATATGACTGTGTGTCTAGTCTGAGGAATATAAGTAAACTTAATAAGAATGACCCAACATTCTCACAGTAGACTGTTTTGCATTTTTATCTGACACCTAATTTTCCATTAAATAATTATGGAACCCTTAGCAGTATGTTTTCTTAAGTCTTACCACTGTCAGATGTAATTTATTATTCTTCTTATCTGAGTTATTTAAAAACCAAACAAAATTATTTTTTTCCTCTAAAAAAACTGTCTTAGCAGTACTAATTCTAATTTGTGGCTGAATTAATAAAAATCCAATAATTACAACAAACTAATTCTTACACTAGAAATTGAAATTCTACAGTATATTTTGCAGATGGTTCCAGTAACTCTCACAACCAGAAGAACGTAAAACACGCTACAGGGGAAGATGAACAGTGAAGAACAAAAAGATGCTTTATTTTTTTTCCTGGCATTTGTGAGGTTTACAAAACCTGAAATAAATTTCATAGATCAGCCAGGATAAGTTGATCTCAGTTATTGTTAAAAAAATTTTACATTACATCTATAGATCTTTCACTACTGATTGTGCACATTCTTCTCATCATGATTAATTTTTTTATTAATGGTTGTATTGCAAGGTAAAACTTAATTAGGATACGTTATCTTTGCATAATCCTCCCACAGCTTACTGAGCACAGAAGTATTTGGAAATATATTAACAATTGCTGAATCAGACCTAAAATTAAAAACTAGTTATGACTGTTCTTTTTCACTGTGAAACTCACATTCTACACACTAATACATTTTAGGCTACTTTAACTTAAAAATATATGTAAGTGTTTTATCTCTGGAAATATTGTCCAAGTTGTAATATAATGGAAACGTGTTGCAGAGCAAATCTGCTGTTAAAAAGTCACAACCAGAAGTTCATCTTTGAACTCTTCTGGTGTGACATAAGCTCAGTTGAAAAAGCCATTTTAACTGTATTATTACCAGTGTCAAATAAAATTTATGTTTAAATAGGACTAAAATGATACATGAGATGACTGTCCCACAGCCCAACAGCTTCTGTCTCACAGATCCCATTGGATACTTCTAATGAAGTAGTTTACAGCTCTGAATGAAAATTATTCCCATGCAGAAGTAAAGCATGTATATTGCTTTAGGCATCAGAGAAACTGTAGGATTATGATGCATATTCAGCCTGAAAAAGCAAACGAGGGCAAACAGTTTTTTACAAATAAGTATTCCACAAATTTTTTATATGCAAAGCCTAACTCCTTATAATCATCCTTATTGTAGCAGACAAGTAATTTCCTTTATTAGAGTTCTGATAGCTTTCCTTCCTTTGTCTGAGCTCTGTTTGCTGCCTGATGTTTCCACTTCTCCGAATAAAATATTTGCAGACTGGAAAACAGCTCTTCCATACGCAGAGAACTAAAAATGTTTGCAGACTGTTTTGTGTTAAAATAGTGTTTTTCTGAGTATGCATCATTTCAGAGAGTATTTAAATAGTTCTGTATCTGCTACATAAACATTGCATTTGAATTATCACTTTGGTAAACCTTGAAATTGAATTTTCTCTTCAGAAAATTTCTTCAGGAATTTTCTCTTCTCTATAGGAACAGTATGGTACAATAAACATGGATATATTCCTGTAGTATGAAGATTCCAGGATACATTTGGTTGTGCTGTCTTCGATAGTGTGGTTCTTCCAACATGTATATGGATTGTTAAATTTTAGGAGTGAATACTCACATTCATTCAAAATCTCTACTGTTAGGTACTCCCAATGCACATGGAGTGAGGTCTCTGCCTCTGAACTCATGAGGACAGGAACATATTTTACCAGCGTTCTGCAAAGTTTTAATGTGATCAAAGTTCTTCACACTTCAGTTGTGCAGTTTCGGCTGATGACTGTAGTCAGTAAAAGTGCTGAAGATTGTCTCATGGCTTTTGCAATCCTTTTTCTTCATATTTCTGCTCCCTCACTGGTGGCAGAAGTCCTGTCATCACAAAAAGAACCTCTTAGCTTTCATTTAAGAGAGAAAATAATTAAATAGCAAAAGATTAATAAAAACTGTTTAAAATCTCACGATTTTGGAATTACAAATAATGCTTTTAGTTACAAAGCTTTCTCCCCTTTCTTTCATTGAACCCCATTTTTTTCTTTCAAAAATAATACATAAAGGAAAAACAGTGATGAAAGTAAAAGGATGCTGTCAGAGTTTCTAAAGTTTACTGAAGCTGCCTCATAAACAAATGGAGTGGTGTTTAACTTGAATGACCTCTCTCCACCAGGAGTATAATCAATAAGGCTTAGGCCACTTTACTTGTTACTTATTTTATGCTGCCTTATCTTCAGGTCTTATCTTCAAAATTACTAACATATTTCATATTTCCAAATTAAAAAAAAAATTTTTGGAGAAACTATGTTTCTGTCAACTACGTGGGGGGGGGGAGGGGAACCCCAAAAACCAACCAACCAACCAAAAATCCAAACCTACAAAACCCCACAGCCCAGGAAACCCATAAAAAAGATAATTTGGATAAAACAAAGTCTACACTCTGCCACCATACCCACAAAAAATGCCGAAAAGCATTCACACATGAATTACTCCAAGAAGCCCAATTTCAATGACATAAGCAAGGCTGGTTCACCTGACAACTTAGTGCTCCTGTTTATTGCTGATCATTGAGCAGGTACTGCAGCAGAATGGAGTATACCATCTTATATAGTTCACTGTATAAAAGGGTTCTTATGATTTTTTTTTATTGTTGCCATAGAAGCTATTTTCAAAAGTTTGAAAGGAAAATGAAGAATTCATAAAAAAGACAGACTTATCAAAGGTGATCTTTTTGCTGATATTAAAGCAGTAGGTAAGACTGCATGCCCTCAGCATAAGTACAATTAGAGCAATTGTTCTCAAATTGTATTCAGATTTAGAGTAATTGTTTTCAAATTGTATTCAAATCAGAGCCTGGCTTATTTTTTGCAGCTACCTTATTGTAATGAAAGATACTGCCTCCCTCGAAGTCTGGTCCTGTTTGAGACATTTAAAATACCTTCTGCATATTTTGAAGCAACAGCTTGCAAAGCAAACCTTGTGATGAGATGGTACGCATTCTTATCATGCTGAACTTTATTTTAACGCTTAACAGATTGTAGACAATTTTTTAGTTGTCTGTACATAAGGTTTCAATTTAAATTGTATTTTTAACAAAAGACTGGTTTTTTACATTATATTTTCCATTTTCAAAATGTCATTTTTGTTCAGACATCAGAAAGCGGGGGCCGGTGGCAGAAAGAACTCTGTCCAAAAAATCTTGCTTGGCTGAATTTTTGGATGCCAGTTCCTTATGATGTTCTGTTTGCCATGTGAACAAAGCCTTTTCTGAGCAGAGTAATACTGCATAATCTGCAAACCTGCACAGTTTATGATTTTATATGATCAATATCAACAAGCTCAGTAATTCATACTGGCAGCAACCTAAGATCTACAAAATATATCTTCCTAAAGCATTATAGCCCCAGTTTTTGTTTCGTATACAACATTAAACATTTGATAAATGCCAGAATTCTCAATAGAGATTATATGATTAATCTTGCGAAGTGCCTTTGAGAAGGTAGCAGGAGATACTTGGATTTACAGCCACTCAGCAGGATGCAGACTCAGTGCAGAGTAACTAATTGCAGAGTATGAGGATTGCATAATCTGGCCTGTAGTTTTAAATCCAGCTGAGAGGTCCACTTAGTTAAATTCTTTAAGAACAAGCAAAAAACAAATGTTTGGAGAAGAAAATAAAATTCTGGTTTGTAGTCTTGTACAGGCATTTAGCATAGTTCCTTGGCTTTCAGAAACATATGCATTCTGCATTGGTTTTTTAAATTTTATTATAATCTGTTACTGCAGAATGGGGAACCCATGGAGGTGTTGCATAACATCTCTTGTGGCATATCTGTTTGATAGTGGTCCACAGATTAGTCACATGTTATCTCCTGGCCTTGCAAAATTACCTCCTGGACACCTTGCAAGACTTATTTCTGAAGTAATTCTAAATTGTGACTCCTATTTACCACTATCTGTTTTCCTGTTTTTACAATTAAACATTTCATACCCATAAAAAAAGTCTCCTCATTAAAGTCCTTTAATGTTGGAAAAATCTACCTAGAACCTAGCAAGTCTTGATGATTCAGCTTCAGATACTGAAAGCTGTTAAACCCCATCCGTGAAATGTATCTAAACTTCCACCTCAAAAGGTTTTCAGGCTCTTTTGACTGTTTGCTTCTTTTTCTCAGTTCTTCTCACATGCATTTAATTACCTTTTCAGAATTTGAGTGGCTTTTATAAAAAGTAAACCTCCAGACAACTGCTGGATCGTGTATGTCCTTTGGTTATTTTATTGTTTCAGTTATTAACAGAAATAAATGAATACTAAAGACTAAGCTTTGAGAACACAAAACTTTGTTGTTAGTGTAAAGGAGCTGTAAAAGTACAAATTACCATCCAGATTTTTCTTCTGCATATCACATCAACTTTCAGAGTTTCATTTACTTTCGTTTTGTTATGAAAAATTTCGGCAAAGACCTTCTAGCTGAATAAACCAGCAATTTCCCAGTATCAGAGGTTTTATTAAACATAAGTTTTCTTATAAGCCAGAGTATGGTTCAATATATGAGTCCTTGTTCCAAAACAACTGTCACAACTACCAAGTAATTACCTTGTGAGAATAAGTCAAAGTTTCTCTATGGAAGCGAGAGAAAAGAATTAGCTCAAGAGAGAAGAGGAAAATATGCTGGATGTTAATAAGTGAAGCAGATTAGTCTTAGTATGTACAATCTAAATAGAAATACTTTTTCTGAAAATGTCCTGTTTCCAAATAAAAAAAATATGACAGCTAATTTTTTTTTTTTTTTAATACCTCCAGTATTCTACTTTACCATTATTATCACTAACTTTATAATTTCTGAAATCTCTCACTTTTAATGATCTACCAAATCCATCCAGAGTACTTTGGGAATAATCTAATACTAGCACATTATTATGGTATGGCAAACTCTGGAGCACTGAAACCCTTAAAGGGCTGCTTGGTTTGCTTGACCGGTTCCTCTAAATTCTGCTTCCTCTTTGCCTTTCTCCCTTCCATTGCGTTGTGGCTTCTGTATCTTGTACTATGAGTATAGAAAAAAATACCTTCCTTGGGAGTAGTTTAATAATTGTTTCCCTCCAATTCAGCATTAAGTGTGGGATATACTATTAGCAGATAAGAAGCCCTGAAGAGCTGAGATGTTATCCTGCGAAGGTATTCATCCTATCTTCAGATTGCTCACCAAAGATAACTCAGTAAGAAGGATAAAAGCCAGTCCTACACAGGACATGACATCAAATCATTAAAAACAAATTGTCTCCATCAGAACCTCTACAGTTTCCACTGAGCAAGAAAACTACAGCTAAAGTACTAGACTGGACTGCCCTAGCAGCTCCATTCACGCCAGCTGGCAGTGTTTAGTAATAAATTTCTATACAGACTTGCCACTCACTAACCAGTCCATGTGGATTCTAGGTGAACAAAAACTCTTTCACCAAGAGGTGCTGCACACCAAACTGCTAAATCAGGTAAATCTAAGGTCTTCTTCCCACCCATTTCAGGGAGAGCTAACAGGACCTACAAATCAGTCCCTTCCTATCTAAAGGCAGTTGACAATTTCTCCTCTCCCTCTCCCTCCCTCCTCCTCTCTCTCCCCTCCCCCTCCCCTTCCCTTCCCCTCTTCTTCCCCCTCCCTGAGATAAATCTCTTCAGACCTAACTGGTTCAAATAAAACAGCTTTCAAGTGCCAGCCACCTTTTTTCCCATTAAAAGCTGAAGATATCTACCATTCCTAAAAAAATTATCTGAATTGGATTCTTTCTCTGAATCCTATTGTTCTGTGCAATTTTAGCAGGCTGGAAGATTAACAAAATGCTGGGGGTTCAATCTCTCCTTACAGCACATGGCATCTTGAGTCCTCCTGTAACATACAGCAATGGCTTACCAAAGCAATCCTGTTCCTAGTCTTTTGCTGTTAGTTGTATAAACTTTTATTCTGAAAGACATTGTACTGGTATTGAAGAACATGGAACGCAGCATGAGCATGTACAATCCTGGAAAATCAACGCATGGGGCATTTGTTCTACATAAACTCCTATAGCTCTGCCAACATCAGAGCTAAGATGATGTAAAGGCTTATTTGCAGTGACCTTTTTGCATCATTGATATAAAGCTTCTACACGGTTCAACCTTTGCATTACTGAAGTAACCCTATTCTTGACAAGAAGGAAGAAGCAGTAATTATCCCAAAATTTCTCTTTTGGAGAATGCCACTTTACCAGATTTCACATTGCACAATCAGAATTCAGTTATTAACCAAGGAACAATCAGAAATGCATGTATACACATATCTGAGTGGGTTTACCATGTAACTACATATAAATACAGAATAAAAGAGAGTAAGCAATTCCACCAAGCCATAATCAAAGACCTCAGGAGCTTTTGCTAGAAATGCGGCTCCCTGGGCACTGTTCTACAAGCTGAGGGATTCAGAAAGACAGATGTGAAAAAGCCACAACTCCCATACAGTGTAATTCAGCTGCCCTGGAGCCACTGACCCTCGAAGCGGGGCTGTCCAGAAGATCACCAGCCAAAGGGAGGGACAAGCTGGCTCTGCCCCAGGCAACCTTCTCCGGCCAAGCCGTGCCAGCGCCGGCTGCCCCCGAGCACCGCTCCACTCACGGTGGTCCCGCAGCCGCGGCCCTTGGGGACAAAAATAAGACCTGCCCCAGCCGCCCTACCTGCCCTGTAAGCCTCCCGCTGACCCCGGGGGGTCTCCCAGGAGGCTCAGGCGCAGGGCCCCGCTCCAATTAGGCACCGGTGCGCGCCCCCGCCCTTCCTCCGCCACATAAAGGGCGGCGAGCGCAGCGCGGGGCAGGTCCTTTTGCTCGGGGGGTCGGCTGTGTAACCGGTGCTGGCCGGCCGTTTCTTTTGCCTGTCGTTTTTCTTGCACAGGTGGATCTGGGGCCGTTTTGCTTCAGTTTTTGCCCCCTGTCGCTGCGGTACCAGCCGGCTCTGCGGCAGAGCCGCTCCGGTGCGCTCGAGGCTTCCTGAGCCGGCACAGCCCAGGGGTGCGGGGCCGAGCCCGGCCGAGCCGGGGAAGCGCGGCGGGGGCACCATGCCTGCCACCTTCGCCGGGAGGTGCCTGGGGCGGCTGCTGCCGCCGCTGCTATTGCTGCTCTGCATCAGTTTCTCGGGCGGGAGCCCCGCAGGTAAAGGTAAAAGCTCCCTTGTGCCGCGGGCCGGGTCCCCTCCGCCCTTAGTGTCGGGCAGGCTGGTGCGAGGGGGCCGGGACACCGCCCGGGAGCAAAGGTCCTCCCTGGCCGGCAGCATCCCTCCGGCTCCCGGGGGAGCGCGGCGCTGGCCCAGCCGGGCGGCTGCTGTTCGGCCGTGCCTGTGGAAATGGCTGAGCCGTTTCTTCTCCTCAGCGGCCCCGACCCTCCCCGGCCCCCCTGCCTCCCTCAGCGCTCGGGGCTGTTTTAGGGCAGCGGGGAATCAATCCCCTCCCCGCTGTCCCCCGGCATCGGGGGTGGCTGGCGGCGGCCCGTCTGCTTTGTGCGGTCCTGTAGCCTCACTACTATCTCTTGTCAGAAACGGGAGGGTTTACTAGCTCACTGGGAGACTGAGGCATAGTGTTTTATTGCTGCCCTATCCTTACTGAGAAAAACATTTAAATCTTGGGAAAAAAAAAAAACAAAAAAACAAAAAAGAACGAACTGGTAGATTACAGTGCTAAAATATCAGTATGCCTAGCAGTTTGGGAGGAATGCTCCTTGGGATTTAACGCTGAGGTTTTAAAAGTGGCATTTAAAATCCATGAAGGATGAGGGGCTTGAGCCTTCCGGGCTCTGTTCTTCTTGTAGCGGTTTTCAGCAGTTTAGCATGGGGCCAGGCAATTCTCAGGAAATACGAGTTTATTTCTTAAATCAGTGGATTTCTACTGTTAATCCCTGCTTTGGGAGCCACTGCAGAGTAGAATGGAATGATATCAGGAGGAACTTCCAAATAACTGATGTTTGCTGTGCAAGATGAGCTTTCTAGAACAGGTCTTGCCAAGGCCGGGAGTTCTGTCATGATGTGTGTGTGAACACCGTGGCTGTGACTTGAATTAACCATCAGTAGTTCAGCTACATCTTCAGTGTGTGATATATAAATAGTTATATGTTTGTGCCTGCCTCCTTAATACTGAGAGGAGAAGTACTGTTTCCCGTGTGATGGTAGCTTTCATAAACTTTGTAGTGGTCTCACATAATGTGAAAGGAAACATACTTTGCAGTTCTTAAGGCTTGTTTAAAGTACGTATTTATATGTGCAGGGGAAAATCTGCTTTGTAGGTCTTAAACAGTCTGTGAAATATGTACGTGTGTTTCTGTACACGTGCAAAACTTGAAGGCCTTTCTGACAGCTTACTTCATTGATAAGTTTTGTGACTGTAAATTGCCTGGTATTTATAGGAACATGTAAGTCACCATGTGGCTAACTTGCCATGAGGTGGTTTTTTCTGATGTCTGTTGCTGCCAAAAAGTGTAACCTGATAGTAGCTGAAGCAATTCCAAGTTTATATTTAAAACTATTGGTGAAATGATGTGCTCTTATGAAAAAAAAAAACAAAACAAACAAATTAAACAACAAAGCCCTATTTTTGTTTCCAAAATTTCCACAAATCTACCATCTTCCCAAGGTGATGGATATCGGGTCTGGTTTTATTAGAATTAAGGTAGCAGGTTTAGTTCCTCTTATCCATAGAGAGTAAGGCTGTTTTTTTTAGACTTGCATTAAATGTTTTTATAGATGTATAGTTGTTTAACTTAGATAATTGTTTTGGAAAAATTTAAGCCATTGCTTTTATTCTGTGTTGACCTACGGGTAATTTTTAACACATCATAGCACAATTGTTCAGAACTTGCTTCTTTGTTTGGTTACCATTGTGGTTGCCTTATGTGGTTGACTGATTTAGGAAAAGCAATCCCACCACATCTCATCTCTCAGCTTCTGCTCCTGAAGAAACCAAGGACAATGAGAACAAATCTCACTTCTTACGGACTTTGTTTACAGGTTGAATTTTTCTGGTTTGCCCTGAGGGAAGGGTGTTTATCAGGGCATTTGGAAGTCCTTCATGTTGGTTTTCTGGTGTCTCAGGGGTATTAGGAGGTTCTGGTGAGTGGTTTGGGGTGCTACTGAATGCTTGTGTACTTACACAGAGTATATGATTGATAACAAACCTTAATGATGTTAAATTAAACTAAATCGTATTTCAGCCTTTCCTTGTTCAGCACCCTTCTGGCTGAAAGAGAGCAAATAGATTTTTAAGTCTGACATTGCTCTGATGATGATGATGAGCATGGTACATCCACAGTTTATCCCCCGAATATTGGCTGCAGTATGAAGCAGACATAAGGTGGAAAAATAAATTAATGACATCATACTCTTGGAACAAGAGCTCTACAAGCTACCACACTATCGATTAAATCTAATGCAAGTCAGTTAAAAGCTAAGGCATGCAGCTATGACTCAATAGTTTGAGAAGTTACTTGACTTGCTTACATCATTGCCTGGCTGGATGACACTAATCTTGCAGTGGTGCCTAACCTTGATCTCTGATGCTATTCAGCAGGTGTATATGAGAGGAGAAGAGCGGTGCAATGTTACCTCTGTTCTGTGTCGTTTGACATATGAACAGATAAGACTGAAGACGTGAGAGCAGTGGTGACAAGAAATAGCACTACTTGACTGGTTGCACTTAATACATGAATGAAGGAGGAAAGCCAAGATGAGAATAATGTTAATATGCAGACCATGTTGCAGATGATCTGCCTTCATTGCAGAGACATAATAGAGCTGGTGTACATCTTGGCATTTGCGCCTTCTAAATTTATAATCTTTGGGGATTTTAATTACTGTGCAGGTGATCCACGACATACTTAGAATGCCTCAAGATGCTTCAGGTATAAAAATCCATGGAGCTTTCTTCAAACTTAACTATGAATATCAGAAAAATAATAGCTCTTCCTGCTCTCAGCACCTCTGTAAAGCAGAGAGTAAGACTTACTGGCTGGGTCATAAGCCAGCAGATGTTCAGAGCAGATTTCTTAAATTATTTTCTTAGGGGAGGGACTGGTAGGGAAGAGTTAGCTGTGAGACCAGTGGACTACTATTAAAAATTATGCAAATTAAACAAATTGATGTTGAGAACCCGTAACGCTTAATTTTTTAGATCATATCCTTTGATTACTTTGTTTTACTCTTGATCCAAACTGGTTGAAGTAGGATGCGCGGACTGAGAGAGCAGATGGTGCAAGCCAGGCTTGACTGATGTAGTCTTGAGTAACTGTGTGCTGAAAGTGCCAGTGGGAGCGTCTGTGGGTTGTCTGTGCCTGTAGTGCTGAAATGGGGTAGGAGAGTTAGTAGTGTCATTCATTTGTAGGAAATGGCAGAGTGCTGACTTCACCTTTGCTGAAAGCGTGCAGTTCTCAAAAGTTTGAATGAACTTAAGAGTATGATGTTTCACTTTTCATCTATGTGTGTTTGTTGCTGTCTTGGATATCTAAAAGAGCTTATCACCCCCATGCCCCCAAGACTTTAACTGCAGCTCTAAGACGTGCTCTTTTTGCCCTTTGTGCCTACAGGCAGAATCCCTTACTCTGAGTGCTGTGGTGGTAGAATATGTCCTGCAATACCTTAGCATGTGAAGATAGTGTTCATTTTGTGCTAACTAGCTCTGCCACCCAAATGTGGAAACAGAAAGGAAGGACCAAACATTTCTGTTCTTCTAAAACATCTACACACCTTGAATTCTTAGTAGAAGTGTGAAACAAAGACTTAAAGTAAGGAAGTCATCTTCTTCCCCTGCTGTTCTTTCTCCAGTCAAGAGCATAAAGCAAAATCCTAGAGTCTTACCTGGCTGTTATAGATGGAGGATCAGATTTGTAGTGGTGTTAAGGAAAATGGAAATCATCATTAGTATTATATGTTGAAGTTTGTGTTTGACACAGGTGTCTTTTGTTTTGCTTACCAAGGTGCTAATAGGAGGAAATAAGGTTTGTTCATTGGATCACGCTAGACTTTTAAGGTTGTAATGAAGTCCTTATTCTATTAGCAATTCTGCTAATCCATGTTAAAAGTAGTCAGCTAGAGTCAGTGGTTGTCTAAGCCCAGGAAAAATTCAGGAGTACAGTTTATAAAGGCTACTGTAATATTCTGAAGAATGGCTTTGCTTGACTGTAGACTAACTACAGGAAAAGAGCTGTATACAGAACTTAGAGATCAAATTGATATTACCTCTGTTCTTCAATATTTTCTTGCTAAAGTGAGCTAAAGAACTACTGAAAAACAGTCCTTGTGCGTTTTTCTATGTGTATGCTCAGAACTTGGGAAGAAATGGAGAAGGAATGCTGAGGTGAGGAGCTTCTGCTTGAATCCTTCTCATGAACTAGCTTCTAACTCAAATTAAATTTCTTTAAACTTTTTTTTAGATCCAGTTATGACAACACAAGATGCCAGTCAGTCTCAGGCGAACTCCTTGACTAAGATGCAAGTTGGACTTAATGAATCATCTGGTAATTGTTTTATTTCTATTTAAACTTATAGTACTTTTCCCTAGTGATACGTATTTATTATGTAGCATGTTTCATACTCAAGTCTTTTAAAATAAAAAATTGTCACTTTTCAGAAGAAACAAGAGTAGATATACCATCTAGGCCTTTTAAAGCCATTGCTTCAAGAGATTAAGTGTTATAAGCATCTGTAGTACTGGAGAAAGCTATCCAGCTGCTAGTTGTGTGACCTGTTGCCCTTATGCATATATGCCATTAAAGCAGGCAGTGACCCTGGAGGTTGGACAATGCCTGAAGTAGTACCATTGCAGGAGTGTTCTACCACTTAGACCTGATAATTTTTCATGTGAGGGCTCCTTATGCTCTTGTATTAGTGAAAGGTGCAATAATGCCCTTGCATCACTGTGCCTGCTGCCTTCATCCATCTATTTTATTAATTACAGCTGTGTCAAAAACATCTATTGTCCCTTCTGCTTTTATTTGCTGGGCCTTAACTGTGGTTTTGACAGGGAGCAGAGAATAAGTTCCAGGCAGGAGAAGAAACAAATGATTGTTGATTCTGCCTCTTATTTCTCCGTAAAGATCAGAGAAGGAGGATTTCAGCAGTGTACCAAAGCTCATGTTGATTAGTGCAAATCAAAAATGGCAAGTGATATTTGCACATGAACTCAATCAAGTTATGACAAGTTGCTCCCTCCGC